TTCTATTCTATTCTATTCTATTCTATTCTATTCTATTCTATTCTATTCTATTCTATTCTATTCTATTCTATTCTTTGTTTTGTTCCTTCTCAGTTCTTTTCTGTTCTATAGCTTGTGTTGATTAAAACCTTTTCTGCAAACAAGGCAATCGCTTAACAACTGCAAACAAATCAATTTGCTTAACCACCCTGGCCAAAAAAAAAAAGTCGTAAATTGGGCAGGTCTCACTTAACGACTGCTCCGCTTAGCGATGGAATTCCTGGTCCCAGTTGTGATCATAAGTGGAGGACTTACCTGTACCACCATAGAGGTTGGAGCCCTGCCAAAGATACATGTCAATGGATAACTCTCTTAAGGAATGTGCATTTCTCTATTTGCAGCCAGAACTTGGGAAGGCGCGTCGAAGTAATTACACCCTTCCGGGTTATGATTTTAACTACGGATTGTATCTACACGGAATGGATGGAGGCGTCCCTGAAGGTAAGCGGATTGATAACGCTGATCACGTTTAGATCCATGCATGCAAAAGAAGAAGTCCCTTCCGTCACCACCAACCGGAGAAGCATTGGGGCCTATTTCTCACCCACCTTCAACTCCAGAAAGTTTCTACCTCTTGATTTAAAATAAAAAAAAAGAGGTTGAGACTCTGGAAAGAGGGCAGAGAAGATGCTTAGGAGGTTGGATGAACCCTACGATGAATGTGTGATGACCCGGGGTGGGATACAAAATAAACACAGTCACAAAGAACAGATGAAGCCCCTTTTATTCCTTCACTTTGCTTCCGAGCTCCAAATATCCTTGACTGGAGACAAAAAACTCTCACACAAACAGTTACAAGAAGGAGGAAATGCCGTTTAAATTATAAAGAGTAAAAAAAAACCAACACAAACCAGGCAAGAGAAGGGCTAGAGGATGTCCACAGACAACAGAACACACACTGGGAAGGACGCCAAACTAGGAGAGGAACCATAAACTAGAGATATTTCCATGCTTTGTTTCCAGCACTCACCCATACGCATGTCCGTCCTCTTATCCAGTTGTCACAGTTGCAGCCCATGAAGAGGATCGAGGCCCTCTCCTCCCGAGTAGACCATGTCTCTCCCTTATCCTCTCCTCCCTGCGTGCCCTAGGATGGAGAGGGGATGGGCCTGGGTCCTCCTCTGCCCTTCCCCAGCCTCCTCCACAACCTCCGGAGCCACACTTCCACTCCCTCAAAGTCAGTCTCCACCAGGGGCATGGCAAAAGGTTTAATGGAACTAGTCCCAACGAAGAGAAGAACTAGGGGTGACCTGATAGCGGTCTTCCAATATTTGAGGGGCTGCCCCAGAGAGGAGGAAGGGGTCAAGCTATTCTCCAAAGCACCAGAAGGCCAATAATGGATAGAAACTGACCAAGGAGAGATTCAACCTAGAAATAAGGAAAAACTTTCTGACAGGGAGAACAATCAGCTGATGGAACAGAAGTTGCCTTTAGAGGTTGTGGGATCTTCATCCCTGAGAGCTTTCAAGACGAGACTGTCAGAAATGGTGTGGGGATCTCCTGCTTGGGTGGGGCTGGGGGTGGGTGGGGGGTTGGACTAGATGACCTACAAGGTCCCTTCCAACTCTGTTATGCTGTATTTCTCCGTTCCTTGGTTTGGAAAGGAGAGGGGCCTTCTTTGAATGTCTCCCCTTAACTCCTCCTCCTCTTTCTCCAGCCATTTGCCACTGGCACGTCATGAAGCCGAGAATTATTTTGGAGAAGGAGAAACCCCGGGATTACATGACCACCAACGTCCAGGCGGTCAAGGATGGCTACGTCACCGCCCACGAGCAGAACCTGTACCGCAAGATGAAGGACTTCCATGTCAACGTGGAGGACGAACGTCGGTTCAAGAGGACCCCTCCCAAAGTCCCTCCGGACATGACCTATGGAAGACCAGCACGGTGAGAGGCAGAGGAGTTCCCGCCAAGGGGCTTTTTG